TTCTCTTTGAAGAAGCATACTCTGTCCTGAGCCTATCTTGCAGTCTTGAATGTAAAGACTGACATTCTATAGGATTGAACTGAAGTCATTATTCTTGAGAGGTCATGTTCAGATATATAAATTTCAGAATTAACTTACTAGTAATTTGTTTCTCGGATGTCACAAAGACCTGCACAGGGTACTTGAGTGAAAATTACACTATGTGAGAAACAGAAAATGCTCATCCAAAACCAGTTGTATTTTTCTCAAAACAAACAATCATAGTCCCAAAATCCACTGCTGACCCTCTTTTCCCAGAATACACTGTTACTGCTTCCATTTCTCAACAATGGTTCACTTCTAGTACAAAAATTGTACTTCCAGTGACAACAGTACACTTGAACATGTGTACAGCAACTCCAGTCAGCAGCATCATGTAAGTAGCAACTGTAACTAGAACGTGCACATCAGTAAACACACACACAAAAGTTTTGATGGGGGAGTGATGCCCGGGTATGTCCAGGGTGAGCTGTGGTTGCCCCTGCTGACAGATGCAGGACTGACACTGTCCTGTTGTGCTTTCTGTAACTAGGCTGTCACTTTTCTTCTACTGACTGCCATGAAACTCTGATTCAGTGCACTTCCGTGATGTGATCTTTATCCTGGTCCATCTGAAAAATATTAGCTAGCAATGTATGCAGGAATTCAACCCTGAAGCCTTTACAATCTGTTTAGGTCTACAGATTGCATAACATTCGTCTTCTCTGTGTTCTTTGAGGCTATAGCATTTCTTGAGCAGTATTTTGTCATGTATATGTTTGAGTCTGTATAGATAGTGATGGCCAGAAAAACAATGAAGGGAAACATACGCTTTGGACTGCAATTTTATCTATTGCATATTGTGGCAAAAATGGTGTTTTGGTGAACATACTGTACTGGTGATGAACTTCCATTTCATTTCATGAAATTCACCATGTGGTGCAAAATGCTGCTGTTCTGCTTGTTTGTTTTGTATACACTTCTTGCATCCTCCTCTTTCTGATACTGTATGATAGTGGGAAAGGTATTAATTTGGTTAATATAAAATTTCTGATTTATAATGCCAGATCTGCATTTGGTTGATAAATGTATGCATCCATAAATAATTAAACTTACAGTTTTTCTTCTGAATAAATTGATTAAAACTATGTCTTGATATTTACATCTGTAACTTTGCATTTGCACAGGCAAACATGAAGACTGGGCTGGAGGCTGGCTGAAAATCTGGTCTTGCATATTCTATGAAAAATTTTACTCAAATTTCTCACAGGTGAATAAACTGCATGCACAGATGAATCTAGTTAATTCAATGGTTTAATAAACCTGGAATCCCAATGAGGCTATAACAAATCCCCCTGGCATCTTGGAGTTATGACAAAGATGTATAAAATTATATGCAAGCAGAAGAGCTCTTTCTAAACTTGAGGAGTCTTTTGCACATTTTTTTTTTTATTCTGTTCACTTCATGAAATAACTTCTTATCTGTGGCTCAGTCATGATAAAGTATTAAATCAATTATTGTTTGAGGGCAATATCTGGGGTCAATTTGTGTCTGACTAGATTTTTCATCCTTTGGATAGTTTGTTTGTGAAACACTTATGCAGCACTAAGACAGATGCCTCTCTCTTATGGTCCCTTTGAGAAAGATGGCTAGGTTGAACTGAAAATTTCTGCAGCTCCCTTGTCAGGGAGCAGCACCTTTTCATAAGCTGCCCCATTTTCAGATGTTAAGCATTAGAACTAATTCTCTAGTTAGAAACACAGGAACTGCAAGCTGACTATGACTCATTGATTTAGCAAAACAACCCGAACTAATATAACTCCATAAATTTAATTATGAATGCTAGGTTTAAGGTCATTGTACTTTGAACTATAATCTGGTCAACTAAGCAGTGTGAAGCCTGGTAAGTTCTTGGATATTAAACCTTACAGGAAAGAAATATCATATAGGAAATAATAATTTTGTAGTAGGTTTCTTTTGCTGCGTTTTGATACAAAACCAAAATCCTAGATTAGTGATCGTGTTGCTCTTGTTATTTGTTCAGTATCAGGTATGAGGCATTCAGAGGGATAGGATACCCACTCAAATAAACCTAGAATATGTTGGAAGGGGTAGATGTTTTCAGATGAAAAATAAAGCAGATACTGCAACTACATGTTATCATGGAAAGCTTAAACCATTTCTTCAGGTAAAGTTCTCTGTTGTTCTTTACAGCTTCTGAAATGGGGAATAGGCTCTACCTTCATTTTCCACTGAATTAAATAAAAAAGCAGGTAAAGCAATGCTGAGTGATATAAATCTCCTTCTTTCTCAAATATGCACCTGTAATTTTACAAATATACTTGGAATACAGTACCAGAAATATATATTCAAAATTTTCAATTAGTGAAGTTCTGTGGAGTTCAGAGTTAAAAATAATGAAGCTGAAGAAAAGCATGATTGATAAGAAAACTTTCCACTGGATGTACTCCTGTATAAAACTGTAATTTTATTAATAGGTAAGAGCAGATAAAATGCATGAAATGGTAGCTAAATATGTGGAAAGCCATATACTCTGGTTTAGAAGATCATAAGTATATGAAATTGGAATGCAGCTGAATTGATTGTGATCTGATATTCATTATACTTCAGCACTGCTGACAGAATCCTTTCTAACCAAATGTGCATAACATGCTTTCTTAGCACTTTCACAAAGCCTTGAGTTTATAATGATAATTAAAATGCATCTTTTCCAATAATTGCACAATCTGAATTTAGTCTGTGCTAATAAGTTTTAAGAAAACTTAAATTCCACATTTTAATACCAGAAATCCATTTAATTATAGGTAATCTCCTGCTCTGCATGTCACCTGTATTAGCATTTATATTCCTCATTGAGTCTGCAACATAATTTTCTGTTTATTGTCGGGAACATCCATCTAATATGTACCTGCAATCTCATGTAGGCCATGGCTGGCAACCAGCAAAGATCTTAATTTGTCTTTGCCTTATGTAGCCTACCGAAAGAGTGGCAGTGTGAACAGCAAATGTTCTGTATGAAAGACCAAAGTGACAGCATGAACCAGCCTGTTGTCTTCATCATCATCATCATCATCTTCATAGAGTTCTTTTAGAAATGAAGACCTGATTTGCCTACCTATTTCTGGAGGCTGGGTACTGGCTTGCAAAGCTTGTTTCCTCAGTGGAAAGAACTTGTCCAAGAAAGCAGTGCGCTAAATTCTGCTCTTTTCACCGTTTGGAAGAGGCAGCCAGGTAGAACTAATTTCTCTCAGGAATTTTTCTTTTGCTGATTGTTTTCCATACTAGGCTATTATGTTGGTAAAATATTTACAGCCATTAAAATAAAAATTGCCAGGAAATTAAAAGGTAGAAACAAGAATTTATTAGGCCTTGGGAAATACTTGAAACAAACTTTATTTGCTGGAGCAGCACTTTTTAACTACTTGCTGCTTGTATATTTTGACATTCCTTCTAAATAATAAATTTGACTTTATTAAAAGTTAAATCTTGGCTTTTTTGTGATTGCTGCTATTTTTGCAGTTTCTTAGACAGACTAATACATATATAAACATATAATTTTAATTAAGCTTTTGGAGAAACAATATAAGCTGTGATTATGTCAACTTCATTACTGCCAAAATCATCAACAATTGTATGACTTAAAGACTGGCTTCTTTAATACTTTGTAAATTAGTCTTGGAATAATTTCTGTGATGAACTGAGAGAACAAAGATGAGAACTATTCAACTTTTCATCCGTTGTCCAAGCTTGGCATTTGATGAAATCTTCCCCAAACAAATGATGTCCCTTACCTTTAAAATTTTGAAAAAATAATAACAGTAGTAAAAATAAAACCAGGTTCGATTGTTATGATGTAATTTCCACTGTTGAATCTGTTTGTCTTCCACATTCTAGGTGGTAACAAAATTTGTTTGTTTTCTAAAAAGGCCTTAAGAAATAGTAATACGTCATCCTGGAACTATTTATGCAGTAATTTTTATTCTTTGAAATCTTCCAGTGTTAAAGCAACAAGAAAACATTTAGAATGTCCTTTGGTGGAATCTTATTACACTCGCTATATATGTAAACTGATATTCTTTGATGCCAGCACGTTGCCCATACAGAGAAATCTCTGCACAATTAAATGAAAGGAAAAAGAAAAGGACTAAATAAAAAGTAATATTTTTCTCTTATGTGATTAGAATTAAATACATTAACAAATTGTCTGGTAACACAAATAGGCAATAATACAAAAAATCTACATTGTACATTATTTCAAGAAAAATAACTTCATTTGAATACAAAAGGATAAATACACTTTGTCCTATAGCCACTCTTGTACAGTAGGTGAACACAGCATCTTACTGATGCAGTGCTGCTAAGGTATACAAGGATATGACTGGCTTGAGTTTTATTGAGGGGGGCTGTTACACATGTGCATCACTAACATCAGACAAAGAAATCTTTCAACCAACAAGGGTTACAGAGCAACGTTCACTAAAGCACAAGTTGGAAAGGATTCGGGGACTGAAGCAGGCCAATATGGCAGCTTTTACAGATTTCCTTATACCCACAATGCACTGACAGCAAAGAATGCCTTTATTTGGTCGGTCCACACACTGGGCGGAGGTACAGTAGCGCACCGTATAGGAGTAGCAAATGTTTTTTATATTCTCTTCCCATTCTGAGTGCTGTCAAAGCTGTTTCAGTCCCGTGTAAGCTTTGCAACTAGCACTGCTTTGACAGAATAGGCAGCTGCTAACTTGTCTCCAGTCAGAGGTGTACAGTCTTGACTCGGAGCCCTGTCCGTAACTGATTAATATGGCTTAGTTCAGTTAGGCCTTCTTAGTTTGTATGTGGTTATTTTTTCTCTCTTTTTTTCATTTTTAAATTTCAGTAGCAAATGCTTGAATTTTCTTTGTTTTCGTGTGGCACATTCATTTGAAGCAGTCTGAATGTGATGCTATCAACCATATGGAGTCTAGCATGTGCAGAGTCCAGCTGCTCCTAGTAGAGCAGTCAGCAGTAATAGAGGCCCTTGTGATATTGCACCCTGGCCGGAGTTCTGGCTGCAGCCTCCTGCATCCCTTTCACACTTCAACTTCTCGCATAAAATACCAGTGTAAGCTGGAGGGCACTGGCACCGTATGTTGTTGATGCATGTTCCTCCATTCTGGCAATGCAGTAGTTCATTGTCACATACGTTTGCTGCAAGATAACAGGGGAGGGAGGGAAAGAAAAGCAGAATAAATATAAGTTCGTGTACAGGATAAACTTGGCACTAAAACCGTAATTAAAACACCACCTCCCCTGTCTTCCTGAGACATGTAAACAGGGGATGTGGTTTTTTAAACACTTCAAGTTTAAATGCTTTGTTTAATTTGGTATGGTCTCTCTCTTTTTTTAGGCTGTAGTCTTGGAGAACCATCTAATTCACTTCAGACCACTGACTACAATCATATTAATTAGTGAATTAATATTAATATTAATAATGATAGAATATTAATAGCTGCCTTGTGCCAGTGTCTGCAGTTTTACAGTTACTAGTTGAGCTGGAACTGTAGGTGAGTGCCTTATTATTTGAAAAGGGCAATATATCTACAGCTTTTGGAAAGCATGAACAGGAGTTAAAAATGCAACATGACTTTGCTGAAGTAAAAAGATTTGTATGAGAAGACAGGGTTTTATAATCAAGAACTGCATGTATTAATGACCTGAAAAATTACACAAAAAAGATAAGGCAAACACAGTCAGGAAATTCAGCGTGCCATTTGATGGGGATTATATGGTATATACATATGGAAATAAAAGATAATGTTATTTCCATTACAGATCAAATATTTCTTCTTAATTAGATTTGCTGCTTTGGTACAAGAGTAACTGGCATCTTAAAACTGTCTTAGATATTGTAGCCTGATATAATAACTTCACAAGTCAGATTTGGCAGCTTTACTTTGCATTACTTAATATGAATAGAAATATTTCACTGGGTAAATATGTAGAGATATGAGGAACATACTACTTAGATTTGTCAATCTGTGTTTTGTTCCAAATGATATCACTAGTGTAATATATGCTACATTACAGCTTTCTCTTCCATAGGAGTGGTGATTTTTAGTAGACACCTTGCACCTACTATCTAGGCAGAACATAACAGTAAAAATTTTGCCTCAGAGAATTAGAGAAAAGATTATTTGGCTTAGAAGCAGACTCAACATTATATCCTGTTTATGCATACCTTAGCCTGGAAATACACTAAATAATTCAGAATAGGGAAAATATTGTTAATTTTACTTTAAACACTTCTATTCTTTGCTACAAAAAAGTACGGTTTTATAAATGTTAATTTACTTATTTTTAAAAGTAACCCAAATATTATAAGAACTAAAAGCGAAACAGTCCAGGTTCTTAAGTGATGCAATTCTACATAAATCTGCACAATTTTGTGCACCTGTGACCTTACTAGTAATCTTATCTGTCCTGGCTTTCTTTCAGAAAAATCATTTTCTCTCTCTAGAACGACTCTCTGACAACTGCTTTCTAATGTTCTGCATCCAAGTGGGCCAAATAATGATGCAGTGTAATAGAAACTCATAGATGCAATTGAGAGAGAACAGTTAAATAATTTTTTTCAGCAATTCCTTTAGCAATCAAAGTTTTTTACTAAGAGCTATGGATTTAACATTGTTGTCCAGTTTCTGAATTGTGATGTCAAAATTTGAATATTAAGGTACACAATTAACATGTATTATTGATGACAGCCATATGTCTGAATTTTAATATTCTATATATACATTACAAAAAATAGTGTTCATGTTATGTACAAGGAACAGTAAATCACCACCAAATAAATGTGATGAGATTAACAACTCAGAAAAATATGGTAACAGGATGAAAAAATGAACTGTATTTTAAAAGTCAATATTTGAGTTACATCTCCTATAACTGAGGCTATGTATCTTTAAATATGACTTTATTATTCATATTCTATATATTTAGCAATATCAATATGCAAAATCAAAATACTTTATCTGATGGTACAGCTACTGAATCCACTTGTTCTGGACTACTCATTGCTAGGATGCTTCCTACAGTTCAGGCAATGAAAGCGGTGAAATATCTGTGCCATCAGTACTGACCATTGTTTCCCTTGAACAACTGAGTGGAAATAAACAGTTAATTAAACACCCCTTCTTAAACAGCAGATGAGATATTTCACTTCATGTTTGGCCCTGAATATATTATCCACATTTTCCCAAGTATTCAGTAAACTAAATTTATTTTCCAATAGCTTTCCTGTTTTCAAACTTATTTTGACAACTATAGCCTGTTACTTTCAGAGGCCATCAGCCCAGCTTCTGATCTGTAGTTATGGATTGCCAGCTATGTGTGGCTGAAGTGGCGTTTTGCTACCTGCTAGATGTTCTGCCTGATGATACACTCATGCAGGCTGCTATCAAATGCCTTTAATCATTGCTGTCTACAAATTCTGGATACAATTTCTCATTAGAAAGCTTTTTTAAAACTGCTTAAAGAAGAGATGGATCAATGACCATGGGACGACATACACAGCACCAAGCTTGCTGGCATCAAATGGGAACCAACTTTCTCAAAGGGTGAAGAGGATCTTTGCCCAGGAGCTCACGGGGCTCATTGACAGGGCTTTAAACTAGAGGTGAAGGGGGAAGGGGAACCTATCAGGCTTGCCAGCGACAGGCTAGGGGAGGATACACAATGGTTAAAGGGATGGGGGGCTAGTAGGAGCCATCAACCCGTTACCCAGCAGCATGCCAGGGACACTGCAGCAATGTGGAAGTCTTGCAGAAGGGAGCTGGAGGTGCCTGAGGTATCAAGTGCCAACAAGAAAATACCCATGAAACACCTCAAGGGAAAAAAGGGGTGCTCTGCTATGAAGGTAACGAGGCTGACAGCTCAGATGAAATGCCTCTATACAAACGCAC